AGAAAACCGACTGCGAAAGTGTTGATCCGGTAAGCGCATATCGCGAGTCCGACGAGATGCCGATTATTCTCCGGTAACGACCGCACGTCGGAACGCTCGGAATGTTTGCGCAAAATTGACGCACGATCCACTGTCCCGAATGTAGACCGAAGCTACATCTCCCTCTCTCACTTTAGTCGTGCTTAAGTCGCTGCGATCTAGCAATTCTGTCGCAATAAAAGTGCCGTAAAGAGTTCGGCGATAAGCGTGTCCTGTAACGCGCAGCTCGCGAATGGAGTCGTCGGTGGCGATCTTCGGGGCTGCTTTTCGACGCGCACGTCGTCCCTTGGAATAAGCGCGCAATCGATGACGCGATCTTCCGGCGACGACTGTTAAAAAGTCATCGATGACGACCGGTGAACGGCGCGTCACGTTGTCGTCGCACATGTCTCCCCTCCGCGTGACCCATTTCGTTCCGAGTCTTCTGCCAAACGAGGAAGTAAGTGGATACGGATAACGTCGCGCGTACATCAGCTCGAGGCGGTCATATAGCAGTCTATATGGCCTGTTCCCTCCCTCCTCCTCGCCCGATTCTATATATGAGAGTGTAGAAATGTCGCTCGCGCGCAATGAAATGTTCTTCCTTTCGCGGGTCGCTGGCCCCCTTTTTCTTACGCCTGCCTGCCTTTGTTCTCGAAGAACCTCGTGTGTGGATTCGTCTCGCGATCCCTAGGTAGCTTGCTCGTGCACATTACGGGGTTGTCTATGTTAATTAGCACGAATTGAAGTTGACAGAAAGACGATTCGAAGCGCTTACCTCCCTGGTCCTTTCAAGTTCGCGCATCCCGATGCGTTAGTTATCGGCGACTATTTCGGCGACGGTTCTTTACCGAGAGACTATCTCGTCCCGACGTTACAAAAGCGAGAAACGTGGACAATGGTTTTCCGGATAAAGCGCTCGACGGCTCGATGTTCCGCCTGGTCATTCCCCGGACTCGTGCGATCCAGGGGATGGCTGGGGGTTTACGAGCAATCCATGGGAAATGCGGTAACCTAATAACACACACGCAGACCGTTCTGCTTATTTCTATTACGAGAGATTGCCTTTGTTCGCTCGTCATTGTTCGCGCCGCCCTTTGAATTGCCGCGCCGTCCCAGTTCACGTTTGGACCGATAATGCTCCGTCAAATTATCGCATATTGTGCCTGTCACGTGTCGCAAGAGTAGTTACGAGAGTTATTCGGGATTTTACGAGTTAGTCGCGCGCGCGGTGAGTTCCTGCTGAAAAATGAGCGGAAATATGAAAAAGGTGAAGATAGAGTTTTGAACAGCGGTGCCATCCAGTCGCTTAAGTCACTTCTTGTCGTTTCTTCTTGACAAGTTATTAAAAAATTCACGATCATCCAAAACGGGTTACTATAGTCGCTTTTTGTTTTTCCTGAGTTGCGTTTAATGACGTTTAACGTTATCGATCATTCTTTCCTAATTACGATTTAAAGAGGCAATCTTAAACGCGTGGGAATTAGTCGTTTCATATTTTTTCATTCGGAGAGCTCTTCAATCGTATCGTCGTCGCCGCCGCCGTTGACACCACACCTGAACTTGCGAGTACTCCTCGTTCGCGCCGAAGTTCTCACGCCAGTTCCGATGGGAATCACGCCGTCGGCTCGGAGTGACCAGGCGAGGAGACCTCGGGAATATTACGGCCCACTCGGTACAAAGGCATGGAAACTCACCCCCCTCGTAAATAATTCCAATAAATATCGCCGGTACCTACTGTTGGCCGACGCCTACGTCCCGCGTTGAGACTGCATTTTTCCGATGGCTTCGCACCGCGTTACGTCCGATCAAAATATTCACCTGCACTGATACTTTCCTTTTTAATATCTTGCGCGAACTTCTGCGCGAACTGGTGCGCATCAACGCATATTTGCGTCCCTTATCGACACACGAGGATATTCATCGTTGGGTAAACGTAATTTTTCATTCAATCTTAATAAAGAGAAAGAGAGAGAGAGAGAGAGAGAGTGATACGTGTCCCTGTAACTTTCATTCACGTTCGGATCTTTTGCTAAGATCGCGACTCGTATGTATCGACGCACACGTTTCGCATCGCTGGCACGTATATAGCCAATACGGGACATGTTGGCACGGAGCAAAATATGATTTAACGTCCAACCCATTGTTGTGTTTTCGGCCGGCCAAATTTGTCAGCACGCGAATTCTCGTTTCGGGGCGCGCCGTGCAACCTCAGATAACACTCAGCCTGGATACACGCGCGTGGAGAGACATTTCATCTCTGTTACCGCGACTGAGAATATTCACGTGAATATTCAGCTGCATTAAAACTCTAGGTTGAGATAACTGAGAACAATTGACTGAGACTAGAAATCTACTGGAATCCTTCTGTTTCTACGACTGAATTTTCGTTTGATCCCCAAGGATCAACGGAAAATTCAGTTACATCGACGGACATTCGTTTTTTCCGTGTAGCACAATTTTAATCAAAGCGTCGCTCGATTGTACTAATGAAAGTGTATGAGGGTGTGAATGAGAATCGGAGGGTAGAGCGCACGTAGCTGGGGGAAATTTCCGAAGCGCGACGGATGCCGCGCGAACTCGTTGGACCGTCCAGGAAGATCCACAATGCGGGCGCGGCCCGTTGGACGATAATCCTGATTTAGACGGGGCCATATATTAGATTAAGGGTCGTGAAATTGAATGGTGGAATCAGAGGAGAGAGCGATCCGGCTGTCAACCGCGAGGAACGGAGAGTATCGTGCGAAAAATAAACTGCTCCTGGCGCGCGAGCGGGGTTAGTAAATTTTGCAGGTGGTCAAAAGCTACCTGTCTGCTGCTCTCTCTTTCTCTCTCTCTCTGTCTGTTTTTCTTTTCCTCCCATCTCTTCTCCTTGTATTCGCGCTCTCTCTCTTCTTTTCATTCCTCTCCGTTCGTCGCAGTCCACGTTCCACGGCCGCCGATCTCGGACTTCTCCGTTCGTCGAGGAGTGCCGCGAATGTCCTCTCCCGAGAAGGCTCGTAAATCCTCGCATTTACTTCGCGCCTTCTGCCCTTACTTGGAGCGTAAATACGCGAATCTCGACTCGTCAAATACAGGCGACACGTGTACGCTGGCATTCCACGACCGTGCCATTGTTGCTCGCCGCGAACTTTTCATTGCGTACATTCGTACGCAATGTTGCACAGTCGCCGAAATATTAATATAAATCATTACTTCTCTGATATTGCAGAACGCATTATTTCAAATTCATGAAACGATATAAACTTACCAAATCACTTTTTTCCTAAAGAACGCTTACATATCGCATTGAAAATGTATTTCTGTAATACTAAATTTCTAGATTATATAATGTAATAATTAACCCTTTGAGCGCTGCGTTGTCCGACGTTAAGCGTGCGCTGTGGACTGCCCACTCTTTACGAAGAAGCACACCGTGGGCTGCGTATTTTTTACGAAAGAGCGCAAGTTGAGCAGACTGAATTTTTCATTGCAAAATATATTGATTGTAACTAAAATAAATTATGTAATGATCTCGAAAACGTTCATAACCTAAATTGAATGGTTGTGTGAGAACGCATATATGCGTTCATAGCCTAAATTGAATGGATATGTGAGAATGCATATATGCGTTCATAGCCTAAATTGAATGGTTGTGTGAGAACGCATATATGCATTCATAGCGCTCAAAGGGTTAAACACACTTGTAACACAGACGTACGCGTTTCTCGAGTTCTATCGCGTTGATTGTGAAACTGCGAAATGACTTCTCCACACGCGGGACATGCGAGCGACAGGACCGTCCGGCCATCAAAAGGATAGGAGGAAGGTCTCACGCCTAGTCAACGTCGGATTATTACGTTCGGATACGAAAGCTATACCGCGAGTCCGTTATTAATGCGACCGATACTCATTCCGTACTCATATCCGTAGATACGATCTCCCCGCCCAGCCAATCGGATAGCCACGTCTAAACCCGTAATTACCATTAGCCCACCCATAGCGGGTGCGATGCTACAAACCGACTAACGAAAGTTTCAATTTACTTTGCGCCGCATTCTACGCAACCTGTTAATCTAAAATGAACGTGTATACATAATGCGCCGTGTTATTACACCCTCAACCCTACATTAAGCGTTTACACAATGCTCCTCCATTGGCAACTAGCTTGCTTGTTTGAAAGCGCGCTAAAAAGCCAGCAGAGATATACTCCAGAGCTTTAATTGTTTGGATTTTCCATCTCTAGAAATATACTGAAAACAGACTGTGTTTATAAAACTGTGAGATTAAATTATATTAAGTATTATTATAATACTTTATTATTAGTAAATAATTATTATTAGTATAAAAAATATTAAGTATTAGTGTTACGGAGAGAAAATGCAAAATATGATAGAAACATGATAAAATGTATGTGTGTGTGTGTGTGTGTGTATTGTTAAAAAAAGGAGTGAAAGAAGGTATCGAGAGGGATTTCGAGGGGGGGAAAAACGTTGTCTCAGCTACACAAATATTCTGAAAAATTGGATACAGGTTTCACAGTAGATTACACGGTTCGTTTCGTCTTAATAATTTATTTACGTATAATTTTCCACGGTGATTCCCTACTTAATGAGCGTGCTCTCGGGACCTAAAGTAAAAACCTACGTAGAGTAGTTTCGGAACGTTCGCGCGGACGCGATATTGAGACTTGATATTAAAACGAGATGCGTGTCATGACGCGTTACGTGTACGGACGAGATTGAATCAGCAGCCTACGTGTTCGATATCGACACGCGATGCGATGAGGCGGGAGCGCTGGTGTAACAAGCGTCGAGTCATCGCCGGAGGCCCGTGGCCGGCCGGAGCGTGCCTTCAGGGTTTTCCCCGTGTTCACCGCGACGTCGCTGCGTATCGTTACCCGTTACCGTGAGGTTAGAGTCAATCAATCACTCGTTAGAATCGTACGCGATCGCGCCTCGCGATCGTCTCACGCGGCCTGTTAAGCTCGCGCTATTAATTACCAGAAACAGGGGATGACTTGCATCGGCTGTGCTCATCCGCGCGGACCCTACGAGGACGAGATACTTAGATTACTGGCATCCACCGATGAAGTCGTTCGGAGACGTCGTTTAAAGTCTTCCCCTCCCCTCGGTTAGTCTTCTCTCTCTCTCTCTCTCTTTCTCTCCCGAAGCATCGGGCGGCTAAAGACTACTATTAATTATTTCTCGCCACGTTCTCTCCCGATACTGACGAGCACTCTCTTCTTTCTGTTTCAGGCCATCGTCAAGAATCTAAAGCCGGAGCAACAGTGAGTATCGCAATGATGACTTGTCGTTCGGCTATCTCGTGTAAACACCCCATGGCCGCCTCTTTCATTCCTTCGGCATTCCGCGGCGCATTTACGGGGCGCATTTACGGGGCCCGGTGCAGAATTTCTCTCCTAGCCGACAGGGGATGATGCATGAGCGTAGTAAAGCACATTAGCGAGAGATCGACGAAGAAGCGGTGTCGCGGTAACCCGATGCGTAAAAGAAAGGGACGAGAAAAAAAGGGGGAGAAAGAGAGAGAGAGGAAGAAAGTCGCTCTCTCTCTCTCTCTCTCTCTCTCTCACCCGTTCGTCGATAAATCGCGGCGCTCGTAGAAATTATAGCAAGCATATCATAATGGCGCTGCATGCACGGGGACGCGATACTTCTCACTTTGGTCAGCCACAATAAATCTGACGGATCACATTAGCTCGCCGTTTAATGGCTTTTAAATCGACTGGTATCCTAATAAATATTTTCGTAAGGTTTCCTTCCACTTTTTCTAATAACAGATCTCTCGCTGTGGACACGAGCGCGCGCGAGGGTTGTTTATTTATGGAGAATCGCTCGTTCGAGGCGAAGAGAGCGGGAAGATCGGTGTTCGTTTCTTCGGTACCTATGCACGCACGCACGCACGCACGCATGCACCTGGTCCACGTCTCTCGGGGGATTTTGATATATCGAAAGGGATGGTGAAACTATTTGGGCCGACACCCCCGTCTAATCCGATCCCTTTGCTCGGGACCTCAGATTCCTCGCTCCCTTAATATATCATCCGGTCGTACCGATCGCGCCCCTTTCGGAAAGGAATCTCTCTGCACCGTCTACGGGCACTCGGCCACAGATCCCGCCGTGTCTTCTCCCTGTCTACGGGTGGAGGAAGAAGACGTCGCGCGCTCACGCGCTTTACGATCCGAGTGGCGCGGCGATTTACGAGCGATCGATAAATCGAGAGGCCATTCAGCGCCGCACATTATAATCCCGGGACATGTACGTTGTTGCAGATTCACGACGGCGAAATTACTGCGGGACTACCCGCGTCTCAAGTACATCGTCGACCTGACAAACACATTTCGCTACTACGACAAAAAGGTAAGGCATACACACCGACACCGGAAGCCCGCGAATCGTTATCGGATGTCCCGGAAACTACCTCGTATCGGTCGATATCTGTCGTCAACCCCCGGAACGACTCGCGGGCGACGCGTTCGCGCGCGCATATTCGACCATTCCGTCTACCGATAGTGCGATCGTAAAGTCATCATTGTCGCGCACGGGGAGATAAATTGGCCGAGATGCCGCGTGCTGTTGAAGAGCGGCCGCGCATGCGGGCGATACTGTGTCCGATGATGTCGCCCCGCGAATTTAACTCGGTGGTATCGCGTGTCGTTCGACTTTCGAGCCGTAATTCGCTTTGTTTATGCGCACGCGCGCTCCCCCGCCTCTTAGTAACTCGAGACAAGAAACGTCTTCTCGTTCTCCCGCGAGCTGTCACCTGCGACTGCATTCCTTGATCGAGCAGATATCCAGGATTCTCTCTTTCTCGATCTTTCTCACTCCCCCCCCCCCCCCCCCCC